GAGTGCATGCTTGTGGTCTGTGCATTTTTGTTATTTAAATATTGTTTCTTTCAAACTTGTGTTCTTGTGCATTTTTGTTTGTGCGCTTGCGCTATTTAGCTCTGTGGGTAGGCTTCTTGTTGTTTGTTGTTTATGTTTAACTGCACATCGCCTCTCTGGTGTGCAAGATTTCGTGGGCAAGCAAGCAATCTATAAATAGACTACTCTTGCACTCTCGCGCTCTCTCACCTCTTTTTTTTTTTTTTTGTTTTTCAACTTGCGCTTTGATCTTTTTCTACTTTCTGCCGCTTGTTGGTGCTCCATACGCTATCAATCTAATCTAAATAACTCTCTTTTTACATTTGGCTGTGTTATTTACAGTAGAGACCTATAATAATGGACCATAAAATTGTCTGTTTTATAAAAACTTGCCAAATGCCAATTATGGCAAGTCAATCCAGCATACCTTGTTAGCTGTGTGATAATGTCGTGCATTAAAATGTGTGGGTTACACTGGTCTTGTGGGGGATGCTGTTGCCAAACGAAATGGTTTGCACTATAGTTGCGACTCGTGTAGGGAGATTGATGGTGAAATGCGGGCGTTTATGCGTCAGACCAGGAGTGGCTTTAGGGGTCTGATTGTTGGTTTTCGTAAACTTAACGATCAGCTCACAGCCCTGGACACCCAATTTAATAGCCTTAAACTGTTAGATGAGTCTCCGGGGCCTAAAAAGCCCACTCCTTGTGATCTGCCGTTGCCTAATACCCTTCAGCCTCCGACTGCTATGCAGCAGCCTACTACACCGATTACACAGCAGCTTATCTCGTTTGTTACTCCGGTAGCTGTGAGTTCTGCTGTGGACACTGATTCTGTCCCGAAAAGTGTGACATCGGCACGAGAAAAACCAGCCGAATTATCCGTGTCGTCCGCTGTTGTGGGTGTTCCGAAAGGGCGACAGCAACAATTAAATTTACAACAGCCGCTAGAAGGCTCGTCGTCCGGACTACCGGCTGTTTTAAGTACCATAGTTAATAGTGTTCCCACTGTCCTACCTGTGGCACCTAAGCCTCTAGTCGGTGTTCCACCGAAGAGACTTATTTTTGTTTCTAGGCTTGCCCCTCACTTTTCATCAGATGATGTAAAAGCCTTTATACAGGCAAAAATTCAAGCCCCAGGTATACTGGTGGAGAAATTTAAGTTCGCGTATGAAAGGGATATTGCGTCCGGAGCACTTAATAGTAAAAGAATATAAGGCCAAAAAGAAAAATCGGACTCCGATTTTATTACCACCTATTTCTAATGGCGCATCAACTTTAGTTGCTGCGTCAAAAAACTAATTCCATCTTTCGAGCTTGCCTACCAGAATGTTAGAGGTCTTAAATCTAAACTCGCTAAACTGTATTTAGACTCTCTTGCTTTCAATTTTCAAATTATCGCTTTTACTGAGACCTGGCTGAACATCTCAGACTCTTCAATTTTTACCTCCAAATACACCACTTACAGATGCGATCGAGCCTCCCGTATCGGAGGAGGAGTACTTATAGCTGTCGAGACTGCTCTTTCGTCGGAACGCATTGATCTTCCCATCTCAGAGATTGAGTTGGTGGCTGTACGAGTTGTATTTGGTACTTTTTCTATCTCTATTACATGTTCATATTTACCTCCTTTATCTAATTTGTCTACCTATCAAACCCATCTTAATGCTATTAAATCTATCTCCTCCCTACTTTCTGATAGAGACCTTTTAGTAGTTCTTGGGGACTTTAATCTTCCTGTTGTCAAGTGGTCATCGCCATCAGACTCAAACTTTCTGTTGCCGTCATCGTCAAACGAATTTATTGATGGTCTACATGAAATGTCCTTACGGCAGGTTAATCGTGTGCGCAATTCAAGAAACAGATCTCTTGATCTAATTTTCGTGTTGGATTCGTTCAACAGTGTTGTGCACAGGATCAATCCGCTTACACTTCCTGAAGACCTTTTTCATCCAACTCTGGAAATGGTCATTGATTTACCAGCCCGAGTCCCTATCAAGGAATCGGAATTAGCTGAACGTATGCGTTGTTTCAGAAAGGCTGATTTTCATAAGCTTAATGATCTTATTCTGCAAGTCGACTGGTCCCAACTGTACAATTGTGCAGACATTGATGTTGCCTTGAAACTTTTTTATGACACCTTGTACTCGATTTTTGATATCTGCGTTCCTCTTGATTACCCAGCGAGGCCTCCCTGGTTCTCAAAGGAACTGATGAGGTTAAAAAACGTGAAGTCAATGTGTTATAAAAAGTTTAAGAAATCGGGAAATCACTGATTTCTCCCGCTATGCAGTTGCCCGATCAAATTTTTCCACCCAAAATTCCATCTGCTATAAGAATTACCTTCGGCGTTGTCGCCTTCAATTTTTTAATCTTAACCACTTGCCCGCCAGAAAGATACTGACGGTGTCTTTATTTTTAATTTAACTCATTACTTTAACATAGCAACTTATTTTAAATTTAAATGGCAACAGAAGTATTATAATTTGTGGGCAAAACATTTTGCAGCCCTGTTACAGCGTGTCGGTATTAACTTATCGGCTAAACGCGTTTTTGGTATTTTTATTTGCAACGATATTTATCGTCCTGCATTACTCATCTTTAGGAGCAGCATCAATGGCAGCGTTTCCTGAGTTTTGGCCCAGTAATCCGCCGTGGGAACCTGCGTCTTATTGAAAACAGTGGTAACTTCCTCTGTGGCGGCTATCGCGCGTCATGCATCTCACTCAGCTGGCAGGTACGCTTATGATGGATGGCCACTCGGGCAATTCAGGAAGTGAGGGGAGCCCACATGAAGCTGCTGGGCTATACCGTCGCTCATGCCAATTAGTGGTTTGGCTCAGTGGATCGTCGTGGAGCAGATCATCTTATCTGAGTATTGCATGTCAGCTGGCTTGGCAGCCGCAGCAACGCATTGGGTGGCCCGCAGTACAGGCCGGTTGCAGTTCAGGGTGCTAGGTGGAGCCCACAAGGAGCTGCTGAGCTGTTGCATATTTTGTTCGAGTGGGCGATGCCGATGCCGTCGCTCACTGCAAATTGTGTATTTAACCAGGAGGCCATCGTGGGGCGTATCATCTTCTTGGTAAGTATGTAAACAATTTTTTTATTTGTGCTTTTGCTTGCAAGACAGCGCATCATCGTTGTGGTTAGGAAACTTCTAATGGCGTCTCTCACACGCCATGCAGTTTGACCAGGAACTGTTTGTATGGGCGATGCCGGAGCAGTCGCCCACTCCAAGTTGGGTATTCAACCAGCAGGCCGTCGTGGAGCATGTCATCTTTTGGTAAGTATGTATTTTAAAACAATTTTTGCTTTTATTTATGTGCCTTTGGTTGCAGGACAGCGCATTTTCGTCGTGATTTGGAAGCGTCCAGCGTCGTCTCTCACACGCCACGCAGCTTGGCCAGAAATTGTTTGACTGGGCGATACCGAAGCAATCGCTCACCTCAAATTGAGTACTGGGCCCAGTCGACCGTCATAGGCGCATCGTCTTTATTTGCAGGACAGCACTTAGTGTCATGGTTTGGAAACATCCGTTGGCGTCTCTCACTCGCCACGAAGCTTGCCAGTAATTGCATGTCAGTTGGCTTGGCGGTCACAGTAACGCATTCAATCGGCTCAATAGTAATGGATGGCCTGGAAGCAGGCCGGTAGCGATTCAGATTGCTAGATGGAGCCCAACAGGAGCTGCTGAGCTGTTGCCCACTTTGTTTGAGAGGGCGGTGCCGGAGCTGTCGCTCACTCCAGGTTGAGTATTTAGCCAGCAGGCCGTCGTGGAGCATGTCATCTTCTTGGTAAGTATGTGTTTTAAACAATTTTTTGCTTTTAATTATGTGCCTTTGGTTGCAGGACAGCGCATCATCTTCGTGATTTGGAAATATCTGGTGGCGTCTCTCACACGCCACGCAGCTTGACCAGGAATTGTTTGTATGAGCGATACCGAAGCAGTCGCTCACTTCAAATGAGTATTTGGCCCAATTTACCGTCGTGGGTGCATCGTCTTCTTGGTATGTATGTATTTAAAGCTTTATTTAGACATTGTTTAATTTATGCCTTTATTTGCAGGGCAGCAGTTCTGCGTCTTGCTTTAGAAACATTCATTGTCGTCTCTCACACTCCACAATCCGTCCAGTAGTTGCATGTCAGCAGACCCGGGTGGCCCGCAAACAGGCCGGTTGCAGTTCAGGATGCTAGATGGAGCCCACAAGGAGCTGCTGGGCTGTTGAATACCTTGTTCGAGTGGGCGATGCCGAGGCCGTCGCTCACTCCAAATTGAGTTCCCAAACCTTGCTTGCAGGACAGCGCATCATCGTCGCGGTTTGGAAACATCCAGTGGCGTCTCTCACACGCCATGCAGTTTGGCCAGGAATTGTTTGAATGGGCGATACCGAAGCAGTCGCCCACTCTAAATTGGGCATTCGACCAGCAGGCCGTCGTGGAGCATGTCATCTTTTGGTAAGTATGTATTTTAAACAATTTTTTGCTTTTATTTATGTGCCTTTGGTTGCAGGACAGCGCATCATCATTCGTGATTTGGAAATATCTGGTGGCGTCTCTCACACGCCACGCAGCTTGTCCAGAATTTACATATCAGTCGACTTGGTAGTCACAGCAGCGTATTAAATCGGCTCCGTTGTACTTGATGGCATGCAAGCAGGCTGTTTGCGTTTCAGGATGCTGGATGAGCCCACAAAGAGCTGCTGAGCTGTTGCATATTTTGTTTGAGTGGGCGATGCCGAGGCACTCGCTCACTCCAAATTGAGAATTTGGCCCAGTTGGCCGTCGTGGGCGCATCGTGTTCTTGGTGTGTATGCATTTAAAGCTTTGTTTAAACAGTGTTTAATTTGTGCCTTTGTTTGCAGGTCAGCACTTCTGTGTCGTGGTTTGGAAACATCTATTGGCGTCTCTCAGACTCCACAATTTGTCGAGGAATTGCATGTCAGCTGACTTGGCGGCAAAGTATTAAATCGGTTCCGTTATGGGTCAGGATGTTGGATGGAGCCCACAAGGAGCAGTTGAGCTATTTCATATTTGTTTTGGTAGACGCTGCCAATGTCGTTGCTCATTCCAAACTAATTATTTGACCCAGCAGATCATCTTGGGAGCTTGCGACTTCCATGTCTTCATTTAGAACGCGTTCCAATGTTAACCGGACTCTCTGGAGGCCATGCTCCAGGAGTGTTTCGTGGCTGATGGCTGTATTTATCTGGGTGTGTTGTAGTTGCGGCTGCTGTGGTTGCGTCAGCGATTGCAGGTTTCCTGTCCCCTGAGGTGATGTCGTTAGCTGCTGTTGTGGCGTTACTGATGCCTGTTGAGTCTGCATTGGCAGAGTATGCTGTGTTTGATGATTCTGCTGCCTCTCGTCCACATAGTCTGGTAGGATTAATCGCTGGATTGTTGGGGGTTGGCCTTGGATGTTAGCCACTAGCTCTTCACGTGTAATTTGTCCGCTTCTATACATTCTTCTTAACGCATTTATTCTTAACTCCCCAAATCTTCTAGGTATTTGCTGGAGTTGGTGCCTGGCCTGGATGACAGTCGTCGTTAGCTGAGTTTGTTGGAGTTGCGGCTGCTGTAGCTGCGGTTGCAACTGCGGATTCACTGACTCCTGAGTTGGCGTAGTTAGCTGCTGTTGTTGCTGCGTTGATGGTGCCTGTTGTATCTGCATTGGCAGAGTACGCTGTGGTTGATGATTCTGCTGCCTCTCGTCCACATAGTCTGGTAGGATTAATCGCTGGATTGTTGGAGGTTGGCCTTGGATGTTAGCCACTAGCTCTTCACGGGTAACTTGTCCGCTTCTATACATTCTTCTTAACGCATTTATTCTTAACTCCCCAAATCTTCTAGGTATTTGCTGGAGTTGGTGCCTGGCCTGGATGACAGTCGTCGTTAGCTGAGTTTGTTGGAGTTGCGGCTGCTGTAGCTGCGGTTGCAACTGCGGATTCACTGACTCCTGAGTTGGCGTAGTTAGCTGCTGTTGTTGCTGCGTTGATGGTGCCTGTTGCATCTGCATTGGCAGAGCTTGCTGTGTTTGATGATCCTGCTGCCTCTCGTCCACATAGTCTGGTAGGATTAATCGCTGGATTGTTGGGGGTTGGCCTTGAATATCTGCCACTACCTCTTCACGGGTGATTTCTCCGCTTCTATACATTCTTCTTAACGCATTTATTATTGACTCCCCGAATCTTCTAGGAGGCGGCCGATTAGGTTGCTGGATCTGTTGCCTTGCCTGGATTTCGGCCAATCTCTCATTTTCTCGCCTCTCTAGCTCTTCTTCTTGAAGCCGGAGGAGTGTTGGAAGCTGCTCTCTAAATTGCATCCTTTGTTGTGCTTGTTGTGCTTGGTGAGCAGTGTGCTGTGTGTGCGGTGGCTGTGCTTGGCGCTGTTGCGGTCCATGATGATTCTGAAGCGGTCGTATGTGTTGTTGTAATTGCTGCATGTAGCGGGGCCTCAGTAGGCGCTGTGGCTCAAATGGGTGCTCTAGCAGGTTTCGTGCCTCAGGGTTTGCATGTCTGACCAACGAGTTTGCAAAGCGGTCACTTGCCAAGTGAAAGACTTCGTCAACAGTTTTAAGGCAGTATGTACTCCGTATTGTTGCGTTTCTGGTGTACCAGGATGCATTAACTGATTTTCTTATTATTTTATTTTGCAGTCGCTGAATTCGTTGTAACTGTGTGTCCGATGTGAGCGCCCCCCAGACAGGGAGACCGTATTGCCAGATTGGTATGATGAGCTGCTTGATGAGTACCGCTTTGCAGTCCTTTGCCAGTCTGCTGTTGGGACCAAGGAGCCACATCAGTTTGGATGCTCTTGCTCTCAGCTTGTTACTTAGGTGAGTGACATGTGGTTTGAGGGTGAGTTTCCGGTCCAGTATGATTCCCAGGTATGTCTGTGAGGTTTTGCTTGGTATCCTTTGCCCATTTAGTAGTGGTGACCGTTCTCTATCTGTTTGAGCTAGATTTCTCAGTGTGTAGAGCACATGGCCTGTTTTGTTAGCGTTGATACTAATGGACCATTTTTTCGCCCATTTTGTGAAGTGGCGAAGGTATTCCTCGTTCTGTCCGACAGCCCCCGAGGGAAGCGCAGAGGCACACATGATCACTGTATCGTCGGCGTATGTTGATAACAGCATTTGATTTTGGCTGGGCGCAAAGTATGTGCGTCTCATGAGCGATGGGAGGGGCATATCCGACGAGTAAATTGTGTACAGAATTGGGCCCAGCACACTGCCCTGGGGCACGCCGGCAGCAACTCGACCTGTTCTAGATTTGACACCGTCGTTGCAGTTTACTACGAAGGTGCGCTCGCATAGGTAATTTTCAAGTATCGTATAAAGGTTTAATGGTAACAATTTTATTAACTTGTTCAGCAGGCCGTCATGCCACACGCGGTCAAAGGCTTCCGAGATATCTATATAGACCGCTGAGCAGAAATGTCGCTCTTCGTATGCGCGTAATATAAATTGCGTAACGCGGGCCAGTTGCTGCTCAGTGCCGTGTTCTCGCCTGAAGCCAAATTGATGGCTTGGCATTGCCCTGGCAAAATCCTGGACTTCGAAGAGCCTTGACATTAAGAGCTTCTCGAAGATCTTTGATAGGCCCGATAAGAGGCTGATTGGACGATATGATGTTGCTTCAGCTGTGCTTTTACCAGGCTTGGGAATCATAGTTATGCCAGCGTGTTTCCATTTGCTTGGGAAATGCCCTAACCTTAGGCTAGAGTTGTAGATTAGCAGTAAGTATAGCAGCGCTTTTTGCGGTAAAAGTTGGATAATTCTGTTATCTATTTTATCTTCTCCAGGCGACTTCGTTACCACTAGTGCATCAATTTCTAGCTTTAGTTCATTGAGCGTGATTGGCCTAATAGTCTGCTGTAGCTCCTGGTCTGTTTGTTGCTGCTGGAGTTTCTGCTGCTTCAGTTGTCTCCATTCCTGACGAATTTCTGCACGCTCCTCAGACGAATTAGAGAAATTTGGACTGAATCTTTCTTCAAGGTGGGCGACGAAAGCCTCCGCTTTTTCGGCAGTAGTTTTCGTCCATATTACGTTTGGATTTGTCGCACGCCTCGCGCCCCCATTGCCAACATTAGCCTGTATTGTTTTTATTGGCCAATTGGGCTGCGGCTGTTTTTTAAGCTTGTTGGTAAGTCTCCAAAGCTTTTGCATAGCGTATCGATCATGGGTGTCAATGTCCACAAGCATTTTATTAATATTCTTGTTTTTCAGCTGGATTAGTGCCTTCTTCAACTTATTTTGTGCAGACCTATATTGTTGCCTTGCCTCTGGAGTTCGTGTCGCCATTAAAATCTGCTTGCATCTCTGTTTCTCCGATAATAGTCTTCTGGTTGGCTCGTCCAGTTCAAGATCGTGCCTGCGGTGGGCCCGGTGGCTAAGCTGGTTTCCTATCTGCCTGTGTGCTGCTGCATCTGCCGCTATTTGAACGTTGCGTACGAAGATGTTCACTGCATCGTCGATGTCCAGGCCACTGCGGATCTCGGTGTTTAAGTGGATTTGCTGGTCAAGAAGCTCCTGAAAACGATGCGTATTGGCTCCATTAGGTAGCAGTCTGTGATTTCCAGTATGAGTTGTAAAGATTCGATTTTTGTTAGTGATCAGATCAACTCTTAGGGGCAGGTGGTCCGAGTCCAGGTCCGTAGAGGAGTGGATTCGAAGTCGATTGCTATCTAGCCCACCGTAGACTGCGAGGTCAATTGCTGATGGTCTTTTCCTCCTATCGTACGGGTAGTGCGTTGCTCCGCCGGTGGCCAGAACATTATATCGACTTTGCGTGTGAATTGCTTCGAAGAGCGCTTTGCCTCTGTGACAGGCGCGCGGGTTTCCCCACCATGAGTGCTGGGCATTCCAGTCACCGCAGAGGAGAAAGTTAGATGAAGCCAGTTCTGTGATTTTGTCAAAATGTCTGAACAGTTTTGTGAAGTGTTCGACTGACCATTTGAACACTGGGGGGCAGTATATTGGCGCAATTATAATTATTTCCCTTTTATTCTCATTTTCAGGAAGTAAGGCAACAGGCATAATCTGGAGGAAGTTCTCGGACATTGGATGAAGGGCGGCATGTCTAATGTCGTTTCGTACAAAGATAGCGACTCCACCTCTCCGATACGTGTGTGGATTGGTTGTACTGTATGTGTGGTAGCCGTCCATGCTTAGTATGCTGGCGTCAGATGGAACCCGAGTTTCGATGACCATCATAATTTGGATGGACTCGCGTCGCATGTACAGCTCTAGCTCTGTCATTTTGTTGCCTATACCACATGCATTCCAGAAAGCAATTTTAAGTGGGTTGCTATTCTGGCCGCTCCTGTGGATGGTCACATGTGGATTTGCTGTACTAATTGGCGCACTGTTGTGGACATTTTCAGCTGAGGAAGTAGTGGCTATGGTCAATTGAGAGTCGGTACTGCTGTGAGTACGACTATACATATTTAGTGACGTCATTGGCGATGGCAGCTTCCCTAGAGCAGTCCATTTGGGCTGCTTTGCTGTCTGTTTGTTGATGGGCTATGTTTGGGAACACATGATTATTGGTGTTTGTTGTATTGTTTTCATTATGGATGGTAATGAATTGCACAAGGACATTTAATAGAGTGTCTATTCTTTTTTCCATGCGACTAAACATTGCCATGTTTTGTTCTAATGTCTGGAGTATAGTGCTTTTGGACATTGATGATTGGTGTCCTGCCTGCTGCTGCTGTTCATCCCATTGATGTTGCTGTGGAGTGGCCAAATGACTTCCAAACGAATTGCGCAAGGGAGCACTATAGTCGACTTGGCCGTGCGTGAACTTGTCACGATTGGTTGGAGTAGCTGGCTTGTTAATTGATGATGTTGCTGGCTTCCTGGAATTGTTCGAACGATGTTGTTGTTGATTCTGCCGTCTGCGAAGTGGCCGCTGAAGTGTTCCTAAAAGCTTTCTTTTCGGGTTATGTTTGCGGATTGTGGACACAAGCCGGCTGTGGGACATGTTGGTGGATCTTTCAGCTGAATTCGGTGTACTGGCATTGTTTGTTGCTGAGATCTGCTGTTCCCTCATGGGAGGATTTGGTAGTTGATTTTGCTGTTGTTCCAATCGTAGTTGCTGCTGGAAAGTGGCCAAGTGTCTTTCGGCCGGGTTTCGTACGCGACCGGCAGCGTTGCCGTTACGCACGACCTGACTGTAGGATAGCTTAGCGACTCCTGGCTGTTTTAATGCTCTTGACTGCTGATGTGCTGGTTTTATCTGGTGTGGATGCTGGATTCCTGGCAGTGGCTGCTGCCTCTGCTCACGTTCTTGCCGCTGTTTATCATCGGCCATGACTCGGTTTGCCCTTAGTTTGCTGCGTGCGTTTTTGTAGGCAGGGCAGCCTTTATAGCAGCTTATATGATTGCCCTTGCAATTTGCGCACTTGGGCTCCACCTGTCTGGGTTTGGTGCACGCAGTTGACATGTGCTCACCTGCACATTTCATGCAGACGAAAGGCCGCCTGCAGTAATTTTTCGTGTGTCCAAAGGCCTGGCACCGATGGCACTGCACTGGATCACGAGGTTTGACTTGCCGCTCGACCGCGACTGATTGGCTCCCCAGCTCTTTCAGGTTGAGGATGTCTTCATGGCTCCCATCCGCTTTGGTCTGCAGTTCGATTTCGAATATATTCAGCGGCCTGCCTGTAAACCGGTGTTTTATGCCTCGGATGAATCGAGCGACAAAGCCCAATTGTTCTAGCTTGGCCGCTATCCATTCACAGGGTGTAGTGTGATGGATATGGCGCAAGATTATGCGATATCCCTTTTCGCTGCGTAGTTGGTGCGTATGCAGGTGAGTGCCTTCTTCAGCCAGGGCGGTCAGGATTGCGTTGTGTGTGACCAGATCTTCACATTGGACACGTAATCCGCTGCCAGATGTTGCCTTTGTGGAGAATTTTCCAACACCTGGATTGCTTTTCAGTTTATCTAGTAGTGGTATAATTGCGGGCACCATCGGCAAGAAGAGTGCGGGCACTTTCTTGCTTTGTATTGTCTGTTGCTGTAGTGGCTGTGGTAGATGCTCTTTCGATTGCTGCTGCGAGCTCTCGTCCTTTGATTGCTGATGTTGCTGCGATTTTTGTTGATTCTGTTGTTGATGTGGCTGTGAATGCTGACAATTTTGTGATTGCCCTTGCTGTTCTGCCTGCTGTCCATGTTGCTGCTGTGCGTCACTTTGGAGCATTTGTTGCCGGCGTGCCTCCTGGTGGAGCTTGATGGCGAACCCGCTCTTAAAAATGGGCGTTGTTAGCGGTAGCACCTGGAGAGCGGGATCATCATCAGATTCATCCATGTCCACACATCTTCTCTTCAGGGGGGATCGCCATGTTGTGGCGGCGGTATTTATCGTTACTAGTGGAGGCTTTGGTAGTTCGTTGGGCAGCAGTGGTGGCACACCAGATAGCCAGCTTTGTAGCAATGTTGCTTTGTCGTTGTTGGTATTTTCTGCCGTCATTGTTAGCGTCTGAGTTGGCGGCGATTTTATTAAAGATGGCAGCAAGTTTCTTCTGGTTGTGGTTGTTGTAGTTGTTGCTGTTGGCGCAGGCATAGAATTGTTTTTCCATTGCTGGAGAAGTAGCTTCCAAGGTTTAACTTGTTGTTGGCTCTGTATTGGCTGTTGTAGTGGTTTCTGCTGTGTTGCTTGTTGTTGCTGAGTGCCAGTTATGTTGGCGTTCATGCGTGCATTGGTAGATGAGGACTGTAAAGCAGCGTTTAGTTCCTGCTGTAGTATGTGTGCGCCGCTTTTATTGGCACTTGTCGATAAAGCAGTTTCCTTGCCCTGTGTGTGTATTTGCTGTGCGCACTGTTGTAGTGTGTGTGTGCCGATTCCGTTGGCATTTGTCATTCTTTTTGTGTCTCTTATTTCTCTTTTGGCGGGGAATGTGCCGCTACTTTTGCGTTTGATTGTGTTAGTGATTTTCGCTTTTTTCTTTTGGATTTTATATGTATTGGCGCCTTTTTTTGTGGTGTTAGTGGCGTCTGATGCGCGTTTTGGCGGCCCTTTCTTTGCTTGTTCTTTTTTGAAGATTTTTGGGCAAATGGTTTTTTCCATTACTGTCGTTTGCAGGGGGCTCAGCGGGGCATCCATTTCAGCAAGGGCGGCTTCATCCTCGGTGTCAAACGTTACATCCATGGGTGAACCGCGGATAGGCTTGGTGGACAGGTCCGAGTTGGACTGCGACGGGAGTGTGACTATGTACTCACCGCTTGCTCTCGTCGGATCTGCCGCCGATGGGGCAGCATCGTGGCTAGAATTGGCTGGAGCAAGTGCATCCATGGAGAGTCGCCGGGTAGTACCGTGAGCAGTAGCGTCTGGCACGGTCAAGGGTGCCGTCGTTAATTTGTCAAGTTGGGAATTATCAGATTCACTGGCACTGGGCATGACGTATCTCGCTATATCACCGAAGTTGTAGCCGACCGAGATTATGGAGGCGTCAGAGGAATCGTATTCCTCATCTGAGCGCAGCATTTACTTTTTTTTTTTTTTTTTTTTTAATCTTAACCTTTTTTAATCTTAACCACTTGCCCGCCTTTTAATCTTTTTTTTTTTTTTTTTTTTTAATCTTAACCACTTGCCCGCCAGAAAGATACCACCCAAAATTCCATCTGCTATAAGAATTACCTTCGGCGTTGTCGCCTTCAATTTTCACATAATCCTAAGCAATTTTTTAACTTTGTCAATTCTAAACGAAAGACATCTACTTTGCCTTCTTCGGTTAAGTTTGCAGATGAGAGCGCGAACACTGATCCAGGCATAGCCGATCTGTTCGCAAACTTTTTTCAAACTACCTACTCCTCCATTAGGTATAATAAAAATCAGCCTTATCCTTATCAGTTACAGAGGTCAAACTGCATCTTTAATCCCATTATTACTGAAAGCTCGCTTCTTAGCGACCTTAATACTATCAAGCCGGTTTACTCGCGGGGCCCTGATGGTGTTCCTGCTTGCGTGCTTAGATACTGCGCTGCAGCATTATGTAAACCTGTTTTAAAACTTTTTGAATTGTCCGTAAACACTTCATCTTTTCCGACCATCTGGAAGGAATCATACATTATCCCTCTCCATAAAAAAGGGAGTAAGTCCGATGTTGAAAACTATAGAGGTATTTCCAAATTATCCGCTATACCTAAAGCTTTTGAGAGAATTATAACATCTCAACTGCAGCATTTATGTAGTTCTCTTATTTCACCTTCCCAGCATGGGTTCGTGAAGCGCAGATCTACAACCACTAACCTTCTTGAGTTTACTTCGTTTGTAATTGATGGGTTTAAGGAAAGAAAGCAGACTGACGTCATCTATACTGATTTCAGTAAGGCTTTCGACTCTGTCAACCATTCCTTGTTGCTTCATAAAATAAGCCTTCTCGGCTTCCCAGTCAATCTTTTGAACTGGATGTCAGAGTATTTGCGTGACAGAACCCAAAAGGTTCTTTTCAGAAATTCATTCTCTAAACGTATTCTGGTGACTTCCGGTGTTCCTCAAGGTAGTCATTTTGGCCCGCTACTCTTTACTCTTTTCATCAATGACCTTCCCTCGATACTGTCTCACTCTCGAGTATTAATGTATGCTGATAATGTAAAATTTTGCCTTACAAGCGGACATTGATGCGTTTCAGGCTTGGTGTCTAGCCAACCTGTTAAACTTAAACTGCTCTAAATGTAAGGTTATGACCTTCTATAGAAGCCCTCCTCAATTTGTTTCTTACATCCTTGATAGTATACCGCTTGAGCGTGTTAATAGTACTTCTAATGAAGTTAATGATCTAGGTGTCATCCTTGATCATAAACTTAAATTCGACTCTCATGTTAATACCGTGGTCAATAAGGCCAGAATAGTTATGGGTTTCATCAAGCGATGGTCAAAGGAGTTTGACGATCCGTACACGACAAAAACACTTTATGTATCTTTGGTACGACCTATTCTTGAGAATGCCTCATGTATCTGGTCACCACAATATGCTACCCATCAGGACAGAATTGAATTCGTTCAGAAACAATTCTTGTTGTTTGCCCTTAGTGGTTTAAATTGGGATCCTCGTGTGCGGTTACTGTCATACTCCAGTAGACTTCTGATGATTAACCTTCCTTCTTTAATTAATCGTAGAACCATGCTGGGTGTTATATTTATTCATAAATTAGTTACTGGTGAAATCGACTCTTTTTTGTTGATTAGCCAATTAAATTTCTCTATCCCTACTAGACTAACACGTAATTTTGTACCTTTATCGCTTCAATTTTGCTCAACTAATTATGCCTTGCATGAACCGTTCAGGGTTCTCTGTGATGACTATAACAAGCATTACAGAGTATTCTGCTCGGAAGCTTCTCTTCCTCGTATAAAATCTTCTCTTCTAAACTATTTAGCAAGTAGATAGTCATATTTTTATTTGTAATTGTACTTGTACACGTACTCGTTGTTTGTATCGACTTTTTTTTAATATTTTTTTTTTTTTCTTCATATTTACTTTTCATTTCGTGTCGTACGTTATACGACTGCGCCTCTCAGTCGGTTGGGCGGGAGGTGGGATGCAGTACGTTGCATCGGGATTCGCGTAAAAAAAAAAAAAAAAAAATTTTACCTGCAGGTGCTAATGGGCGACCATCTCTCCAAATTTAAAGTCTCGTACTTAAATATTGCAGTTTTGCAAAAGGATACAAAAGGTAGATAGTCGCGTACCCAATCCAGTGAATTATATTTTGTTTACCACCATCAACACCTCACGCTATCTACTGATCGTGTTGATTTATTGAGTATATTTTGAAGCAAAAACTCGTAATATATACAGATCAGAACGTTACAATTTCGATTCGTATTTACTTGTTTCAGATAGATTAATAGATTAAAGATATCATATCTAGATTTAATACTTACTACATCAATCAGTTGTGAAAGTTTAAGTTTTATACAAACTTTAAGAACATCTGTAGTATTAACGACTGGTCGGACCAGTTTGTTATAGTTACTTAAAAGATCGTCGTAAAGTCGCTTAGCGTCGGGATTGCCTGCAACTGCTCCGTGTACCATAAGAGCTGATAGTATCCAAGCCTTTAGACTTTCTTGAGATGGTAACATCGTTGAAAAACGTGTGTTTAACTTGGGTAATATATCGCAATGTAGATTTCAGCTTTATTTACTTTTTTATGAATGTTTTTTTTTGCGGATTACCTATAAAAGAAAATGTGTAAAAAGTATATCATAATTAAAGTATGTATACACATTTATGTGTATGTAATTTAAGTTAAATTATTTAATTTTTTTTTTACAAATTCGCTTTTATCGAAGCTATTTCTTTATATAAAACAGGATGTACTGACTGACTGAGTGTGAAGTAATTGAAGCACAGGGCAATATTAAAAGCTATGTGTGTGGAAAAATCGAAAAACACGTTCGTATTAAATTTTTTTGTTGACCAGCCGATTAAATACAGTGGTTACGCAGCATGAATATATGAGAAAAACACCTTTAGAAATAACTTTTAGCAGCTCTTTCCGCGACCCAATTGTTGTTGATTGAACTTTCACTTTATTTAAATATCGTTAATATAATTGAATCGAAAATATAATTGATAGATAACCAAACTAAAAACCCTTTGTATAAGAATAAAACTTATATAATTATTTACAGCTCGACAGCTCTTGAAAAAGACACGATAGCTCAACAATCTTTTTTTTCCCTGAACCCATTGAAAATGGGAAAAGAGGTATAATGGTTTTGTGCAAATGTATGTAACAGGCAGAAGGAAGCATCTCCGACCCCATAAAGTTATATATTCTTCAAAAGCATGTCCGCCTGTCTGTCCGTCCCTCCGTCCGAATGTATGAACGCAAGAATCTCAAAACCTATAAGAACTAAAGAAATTTGGTATGTAGGTCCGCCTATTGCCCGCGCAGATCGACTTTGTTTCCGATATTCGATAACTTGTCCCGTTGCCAAGTAATCGATAGAAATCGATATCGAAATCCTGGGTTTTGGTAAATAATAAGAGCTGGATTCACCAAACTTGACATTAAGCTTCTAGAATAGCATGTATATATCAAGTATCTTTCATTTTATAGCTATCACCACCTGCCCGCTTCTACCTCATCGATATAAATCAAGAAAATACACAAATTTATGCTGCCCACCAAGATAAGCTACAATTTAAATGCAAATGACCTTTTGAGAATACACAAATAAATATATAATAAAATGTACTGTAGAAAACATCATCAAGATCGGTTAAGAAACATTTACGTTATTAAAGCCAGCTTGTTTTGGCTTTCCTCGTATCAGCAGCAGCAAGCGCAAATTTCAAGAATTTCTGTATACATATACACACACACTCCCAACTAGAACCTCTTACTTGTATTTTCTAAATTCATATGAGACTAATTTCACACTTTTCGGAATACCCATGCCACCTTGGTGTAATTAGGGATGAATGGTGGGTAATGTTTTTGGCTCAAATATATTTCCATGAATCTTTCTTAATATTCATTTGAGAAGTGTTTCGCATTGCACAATATTTAAGCCCATTTGCGGATTAAGGTAAAAAATAATTTATTTTTATTGTTTTTATTTTGTTTAATTGCTATTAAAAAGTAAGAATCACTTCTAAATTATAAGCATCCAAACATAAATTTATTTGAGACGTGCTTCACTCTTTTCGCAAGTCTCAGCTTTTCTGTATATACTCTTCCTGGTTGGAAAATGGGTCAAAGGTTCAATGAGGTTGATATATTTCGCCTGATCGGCACCAAACTTATTTTGTAAATTCCACGTACAGGATAATGCCATTGTTTGAGCTACAGTCCTCCACGAGCGTTGAAATTAATAATTATTAGGAAAATTCCCTTCCCAGCAAAAGTGTCCAACTTTTTTACTATACAGACAAGCAGATAACAGTTCAACGTACCATACATCGATCGACAATATCGGTAGTTTTTCAATTAAATTAACATTTTAAGGATTGTAAGCAAAAGTACCAAATGGCGCTGACATCGTTACTAATTAATATATATTTACTTGTGGCGCGAACAAACGCCGTCTATTGTTGACTTCAGTGGCAAACGGCAGATTCTATGTTCATTCCGTTTAAGAAAACCCTTCTTGGCCTTGAGAGTCACGACACGCACGCGCCATCGCATCCGGGAATTAATTCTGACACTCTTGCTAGTAACCATTGTCCAGGCGGTGCGCGGTCTTCATCGATCAAAACTAGACTTTCGACCTCTACGTTGCTCGCAGTTGTCGCCCATATTGAGCGATCCTGCTTCAAGGTGAGGTACTCAGATTTCCAGCGACGCCAAAACATATTGTGTACTACGAGAATCCTCTACCAATGGTCGGTCAGCGATAGTTTGACCAATGCTTCGTCAAATGGTTCCACTAGCACATTAAGTGGACGGCCAACCAAAAAGTGGTCTGGAGTTAGTGCTTCTAAGTCATTCGGGTCCGATGATAAAGGATAACGCGGCCTCAAATTCATTACCGCTTCCACCTGAATAACTGCTGTTAAGAGATCCTCGTAACTAGAGGATGCTTAACTAAATGCCGTGCTGTTTGCGTACTTGACTAGCTTCGCAATCTTAACTGTGCCCTTCCATAGCCCTCTAAAATAAGGTGAGCGTGGTGGGATAAAATTAAATTCAAATTTGACTGCACGTGTCGTTGATAAAACCTTGGCCGGACTGGTCAAAAGTTTTGTCCAGTTCTCGTGCAGCACTCGGCCTTCTGGCAGCGGTCCCATTACGTAATTGCCCTAGACAGGTCGAAGCCGAAAGCAGGTAATACAATTTCTTACAATTTTCTTACAATATTTCTGCTGCAAGAAGGCGCATAACGACTGAGCCCCGGCATCTTAAAAGGTTCGATGAGTGTAATTTATTAATTGGTGCATTTACGCTTATATGATCTTTAGGCATTAAAATAGGATGATTGGTGTCAGTTGGTAGATTGGCCTTTAGGGATTCAAGCATTGCATTTTTGTAGATTTAATAGGTCTTTAAACTTTTAACCTAATGAATTCCTCACGCATCCTTAAATTTTGCAAATTATAATTATATAGCAAAGGCCTCCAGCCATCTCGTCTGCAGTTAAGTCCGACTGATGATGCCTTGTAATTAGCCGCTTGCTACCTCTACTCCACCTATAAACGTAGCTAAGCACGCGCTGAAGTTTTAATAAGTTGTTTGTAAATTTACATTCCCCGATAACATCGTAAGTTTCCTCGTCTCAAGGCAATTTACTGCCAGTGAAAACGTACCCTTCCTCTGTTCAGATATTTTTTTCGTCGCTGCAGCGCCATTGCTCAGTCATCTATTGTATACAATCCAATGGATACAATATCTGCTGGGTTTAATTTCCTTGCTGGGCAAGGAAGCCACTCTGACTTGGAACTACCTTGGACTTGACAGTCACTAGAAGCACTGAAAGAGTTCCGTCTTTATTACGCACGCGAGCCCGAAAAGCTCTAATAAGTCCGCCTTAAACGTGATGGGAACCACCGTGGCAGCTGATTTATGAGCTTCAGTTCCTCTTGATATCTTTGTCACTGTACCGCGTAACTTAACGGCAGCACTTCATTCCAGTCGTGGTTCAGTAACCACAACTCTTGCACGAATATATTGCCTAGAATCAGTTTAGGACTCAAGAATCCCAAGGGTTCGAACACTTGAGCTTGTCCTGAAAGCACAGTTCGCTTTGTAATAGTTGTAGAAAATTTAACATAAAACGAAAATAAACTGAAATTGGTCGCTTTGACCCACCCTTCAGTAAAGCATTAAAGGCTCTAAGTCGTCCGCATTGCTGAGGGCATCACAATAATTACTATGCCGTTTGTGTAGTTTAGACCTGCCAAGTTCTAACAGCTCACTAACTTGCTGTTTCAATTCTACAAGGTTGGCTATGGTGTATGTAGCCCACAACATTTCTAATCGCTTCATCTTGGCTATATCGGCTGTTAGGGCGAAAACTAGTCATTGTCTCAAAAAGATCAGGCTGCAAAGTCCGACCAACAATCATAGTCTCGTTTAGTGAGACACCTTTACTGGACGTGCATAAAGCGTCAAATACGACACAAAATTTGGACGGCAAGCGGCCTGAGCAAATGTTCCTTACCCTAGCGGCCTCTTCTATAATTTCGGAATATTGTTTCTTTAAAAAGGGATTGCGATTCAATTTCTTTTCTAAATTTTAAAATCCAGCAATTGGTATGGATCTCCTAGTTCTTTCTTGGGACTTTTGAATGGAAGTGCTACAGTTAAATTGCCATCTTCCCATAGTACAGCATTAGAAACAAAGCTCTTCTCGAATTGTTTTTCCTGTTCAGTGAATTTATCCACAGGATGCGGTATTTTCTCGCATTTCCAAAACCGTCGCACTAGCTCTTGCAGCTCATTAGAGTTCAGCACATTTTGCTCCCTCTTCTGTTAACACACAAAAATTGTCCGTGGCTGTAAACCTTGTCACTTTAGATTTGAAACTGGCATTCACCTCACCAATAATCTGAGATGTTGCATTGCCGATGCCAGTGATTCTAGACCTAAAGTCGAAACTAATCTAGAATTAAGAAAGCTAATTTGACTAACAGAGTCTAATACACATCTACATATATGATAAACTTCATAGTTACCTTTTATCAAAACCACGGCGGTCGCTAGTAGACTTAAAGATGACTTTGTTAATAGTGCGCTATGCAAAAAACGGTTCCCTCGTTGTGATTGGCCATTATGCACACCGTCTACGCAATCTAAGACATTATGAGGTTTGTTGAATATGGCACAGCGTTGGCTTTGTAACTCCTCGTTATATGCCACTTATAGCGCTATCTATTAAACTCCTGAAAGCGCTGCAAGGGTGATAATTCTTTAAATTTTGTGCATGCTTTTAGCCCATGTGTGCTAGCACAAATGTGACACTACTTTCCGATGTTGTTGTTAGCTACAGTTAAGCTAGCTTTCTTTAATTCGTTTTGGCCGTTGGGTCGAGAACCATTATTCCGCCAAATTTCTCGATTAGCCAAGTTCATACCTCTATTTATTAAGAATTATATCGAGTGTGTCATTATAAAGTATAAAGTGACCGATGGTAGTTAAACCCCGATAATTCCAAACAGCCTATGGTTCCCAAAGGAACGACACCTAAAGCGGATCGCAAATGTATAAGCTTCGACAAGTCATCAAGCT